GTAAACCAGCTGGGTGCAGTCTGAGTTGGTCTTTTCCAGTCTGAGTTTTGGGGGCCCTGTAGAAGGAATAGCGTGCACTTGGCCAGCTATTGGATCATCTCATATTTACAGGATAGAAAGGTGTTGTTCCCTTGGAAGAGACTTGGGTGAATCAGCTGCTCCAAAACTTTGAGTGGGTGTCATGAAGGGAGTTGTTCTGCGAGTACTGATAGTTTGGGAACTGGCAGCAGCAGGGAATGGAAAAGCTGCCTAGAGGGTCTGGTGCAGAGATTTCATGCAAAGCTCTGGCTTTGTGGGATGTTGTGGATACTATCATCCCTTTCAGGTGCATTGTCTCTCAACCAGTGATTTCATTTTATGCAAAGCTGAAGGTGTGCTGTGTAGGCAGCTGTAATCTTGGCTGGGAAATTTGAATTCCATGTACCTGGCCACAGAGAGTAAAGTGGCTCTTGTTTTTCTCTCTCAGGAATGTGGATCCCCCAATCTGGTATGACACAGATGTGAAGCTGTTTGAAATACAACGGGTCTAAGAGAGCACTTACCTCTACTGAGAGAAATACACTGGATCTAAGGACTGCGGTGTGCTGCTTCATCACAGCTATTCCTGCATTTCACATCCAGCTGAGAGACCAAAAGGACAATCACTTCATTTACCTCCCTGTCATTTAAAGCTTTAATTGGGACCTGCTTGGACATCCCTCCCCCCAGCTCACTTCTCTTCCCTCACCCTTCACCACGAACCTTGAGTGAAAGATATCTAAGGGATTGTCCATTGTTGTGGTTGCACTAGAAATCAGACTGTTCTTAGCTCCTCTGTTACTCTTTTGCTTCTGGATGTGGTTTGGAAACCAATCTGACCCTGTCCTTGCCCTGGTGAGAGTCAGCATTTAATTGAAAAAGACTAGCTGTATACTGGGTGCAAGGGAGAAGCTGCTATTCCTGCAGGAGACAGGTTTTGGAAACTGCAGTTACTTTCACGTGGCTCCATAAAGTTTCCAGGGCATCCCTTCTGGCTGCAGGTGTCTCCCTGGTGTCTCAGTTGTATATAGAGAAGTCCTTCCCATCCAAAGGAAAGGAGATGGTGTTGAAGGAAAACTTTGTGTCTCAGTTCTGAATCTCTCTACTCCTTTCCTGGAAAGCTGCTTGAAGGGGTTTTCACTGGTGTGACAGAGAAGTTTTTCCTTGGCTTCCAGGCCCAGCAGCCTGTCCTTGATGGTGGGCTGTTACAGTGGAACATGTCTGGCTTTGGAAAGCCCTCCTTAATCCATGTGAGCACACAGGGAGGAAGGGACTGGCTCAGTGAGAGCAAGGAGAAGAGACCTGACTGTTAAACTCTTCAAGTCTTCTCCTGTTGACTGAAAGGACACTGTCACCTGGGTTTGAAAGGAACCATATCCTTCCATCTTTGCCTGGCAGGCTGATGCAATGCAGGAGCAGAAGGGTGTTTTGCACACTACTGTCTAAGGCAGGGGTTTGAGGGGGGCACTCAGGGAAGTTGTAGGAGGAATTTGGAAGTTGTAGGATGAGAAGCATCTCCATGTCAGTAGGGAGTGGAGAGTGCTGAGGCAAAGTTTAATTCTTCAGGGCATTTTGCTAGTGACCAAGTTATTGGATCTTGAATGTATTGGGTCCCAAGCATCCCAAGTGAAGTCTGGGAAGCCAGAAGGAGAATTGGTGGGAGACCCACTGTTGTTGGATTGGTTCAGTAATGTGGGGTTACGCATTGGTGAGTGGAGACATCCTGGGTTTTGAGTCAAATTTTATATTCTGCTGGGAGGGGCTGCTGTCTTAGACCTGTGTGGTCTTTAGACAGTGAAATATGAGAGGTGCTGTCATGAACTGAGACCTTTCTCACCAAGCATAGTCCTTGGTGCTCTGGTATTCAGGCTCTTGGGAGGATCATTAGCCACGAACTGTTTGCCACAGCTTAGAACCAGTGCCATCACTGCATGGAAGCAGGTCCCTCATGTTAAAGTGTGTCACACACTCTGTGACCTTTAAGCCTGGTCTAAGCTTTGAAGCTGGAGTGATAACAGTGTGACCATCCTCTCTCAGAGAGCTGCTGTAGTGTGCTGCCAGCTCCCATGGGTCTGTAGCCAGGTGGTTTCCTCCCTTGGGCACTGAAAGGGGATGGAGTCCTAGGCCAGTAGAAAGCTGAAGTAAAACCCAAACGATTTTCTGAAGGATAAGAAATATGTGAAATAGAGAGAGGTTATTCCCCCACCTGCCTCCCATCTCCAACCCACTTTGCCACCCAACACTACTCCCATCCTGACCCCACCTCTGTTCAGGTGGAAACAGGGTGAGGTCTCTGTTTTACTTGGAAAATCTCTCATATATAAGAATGTGATTTGGTGGGGCCAGTCTCTGATTGTACGGCACTCGCACCTCACAGCTGGAATGGGGCATCCCGTGTCCCACGTGCTTGCCTCTTCCCTCCCATGGATCTGCTGGTTCTCACAATCTCTTCCGTCCTCTCTTTTCTGCTTTGTTTCTTTGTGAGTTCCTCTGGAAGCCTTTTTGTTTGTTTCTTGGTGTTTGGAGTCTGATCCTTGTTCTGTGGAAATCAACTTGCACTGTAAACTCTTTGCTTACTTATGGAGAGAAAGATAAAGATTAACTGAAACATGCATTTGATTGGTTGGTTTTTTGTTTGTTTCTTTTTTTTTTTTCCACAGGGAGGTTTATAATCTTGTTTGTCTTATGCTGGGGTGACCTGTGCCATTAGATGACCATAGGCTAGCTTACTCTGCAGGGGTGATATTTTTTTTTGTAATCAGAACTGAAGATTGGACTCCGGAAAAATGAGGCTGAACTGTGTGGTTTTGGCTCTTTCTGTGTTTGTGGCATGAGACATCATCAGAGATCAAACAGGATCAAGTCTGCTGACTTTGTGAACCGTGTGCTAAAACCTTTGTGGAGTTGAGACCTGTCAAACAGGCACCCTGGCCCTGGGGGTTGTTAGGAAAGGACATAGAAGGGCTGTGGGTAAGAGTTGGGGCTGGTGGGCTTCATTCCTGTCCATGCTAATCATGTCTTCAGTCATGTATTCAGTGTCATTCCAAAGTCACCTGGTCTGTGAAGGCTCAGTAACTTAAACCATTGTTTTATCTGTTTCACTGCAGATAAAATCCAGGTCATGGGTTTGCCCATGAAGTGCCATCATTGAGGTCAGACCTTAGCATGTGTCTCCTGTGGATCTTGCGGTACAAACACTGACATGAGAATAATAATTAACTTTATTGAAGCCTAATTTATCCAGCTGTAATTTCTCATGACATATTTCTGTTGACATGGGCCCAAATACAAACACTTATTGGGCAAAGTTCATGCTCATGCAGTCAGTCTCAGAGTTTCACAGAGAGGTGCTATCACAGCCCAAATGCTGAATCCTAATTCTAATTCTACTTCTCATCACTGTTACTGTCTTGGGAGACCTTGTTTTTCTAGGGAATCACAAAAAAATAGGCTCTGATCCTAAACCCACACTGCTTCTGGGATTGATTTACAGAGGAACAGAAGCTATAATGAGGATGACTTTTGTTCCATGCTGCTTTGGCCTTGGGTAAGGGCCATGAAAGGTTTTGATTGATGGTAGAACAGGCCTGCTCTTAAATCTCAGAATCACAGAATATTTTGGGTTGGAAGGGACCTTAAAGCTTGTCTCGTTCCACCCCCTGCCGTTGTCAGGGACACTTTCCACTGGACCACGTTGCTCATGGTCCCATCCAACCTCTGAACACAAGACTGGTTTAATTCAGTTGACTTTCGACCCTGTTCTTTGGTGAGTGCAGAGCAGACCCAGGGATTTCACAAGACACACGTGAAAACTCAATCTCCTTTATTTCCATTCATCAGGCTCTGTATTTGAGACCCATAGTCACAAGCCCCTTGCTCTCCCACATGCCTTCAAAGCAAGCATCCCCTACATTCTAAGGGGTCTTTGATCAGGCACCCCGCTGTGCAGCCCAGTTCCCTTGTGCACAGAGATCTTGGGAGATGTTTGTGGATGTGCAAAGCAGCAGTGAGGGATGAAGTGTTGGAGGTGGGGAGGGATTCACAGTGGATTTGGCAGTAGCTCACTTTTGAACCAGCCCTGTGTGCAGGGGTGGGACCTTGGCTGGTCCACAGCAGAGATAACCCCATCCATGGTAAGTAAAGATCAGTAAAGATCACCCAGAGTGTTGCTCCTTGAGGCTCTGGGGGTCCTGTAAAGAGAAGTAGTGTTTATTCTCAGTAAGGCAAGGTCATGTTATTGCTTCTGTTTTTGGTGGGAAATGATGCACTGAACTGGTGCAGGTGTGAAGGCCTCTCCTGCCCATCAGCACTGAGGGCTGCAGGAGCTTGGCACTCCAGTGGGGCTGGGTCCCACAGGACTGGCACAAGTTGATGTGTCAGATGTCAGCAACAGTAGCAAACAGAAATAGTGCCTGTTCTGACCATTAAAGCAACTCCAAGCTTCTTTTTGAAAATTACACATAAAAAGTGTACTTTTGGTTCGTTTCTGAATGACTGTGGCTGTAGGTGCTTCTGGTGTGGCTGATCAGTCTCTTTGTGCTGCAGGATGGTGGGTTGGTGAGCAGTGGTGGGGCTGGCAACCTCTGACTGTGGATTTTGGAGTTCTCTGGAGTGTAGGTCAGTCTTTGTTGCTTTTGTTGAAGGCTGCTCTTGCCTTCTTTTATCTGGAAGATCTCAATAGGAGCTGATAAAGTCCCACTTGCTGCCATACAGCATCCACTGGCAGACTGCTGACTGCATGCAAGGTCCTTAGAGTAGTGAGAGTTTGTTTATGGGCTGTGAGTCTCTTCTCTACGGAGAAAAAAGATAATATAAAACAACCTCCTCTTCTGAAACTCACAGAGATGGTGTGCAAGGAGAATTCAAAGCAGAAGCCAGAGGGAAGAATCTTAAAAGCTTCCATATGCATATCTGCTGCTTTCTGCACATTTGTTCAGCATCACTGATCCTTCCCAGCCTCTGGGGTGGGGGGCCAGCTTGGTTCAGGCTGTGACATAGACCTCCAGGAGCCCCCCGACCGAGTGCATGCGGTAGAACACACCCAGGGGGAGCCCAAAGTTCACGATCACAAACCAGGTGGAGTAGCCGTAAAATGACCTCTCCAGTCCATTCTCGAAGACGGGATGAGCTCCAAATGTGGGCATGACCCACAGCTGGAGAGGTGGGAGGAAAAGAAACACAAGTCAGAGCATGACAAACTGTCCCCTACTTGCGCCCTGATCTCAGCACTGGCTCAAGTGGTTGTAGGAGTATTTCAGGAGTATCAGAGGAATCTCCTTGCCAGGGAGAAGAAGGAAAATCCCTTAGTTATGCTACTGACTCCTTGCTATAAGTCAAATCCTGTCAAATTCCTGGAAACCTAAAGACAGCCTCATTCTACCCCAGCCTGCTGCATCTTCCTACAGGGTTTCACTGTTTCCTTGGGCAATTTGTTTCCACTGGATTAAGGCTGCAGTGTTGATTTAAGATCCCAGAGCACAGTGTACTTTATTGGGTGAGTTTCAAGCCTGAAGACTCATGTTTACAAAGACTTACTGCTGCTGCCTCACATTTCTCCACCTTTCTCATGAAACACCCTTAATGAGCCTAATGGTTTTTTTTCCAAGACTAAAATTTAGGAGACAAAGGATTTATTAGCTGTCACCTTCCTGTACCCGGGAAACCCAGCCTCCCCAAACTCTGAGGTTAAAAGAGACACCTTCTAATTATGAGACTGGGGCATTAACAGCAAAACCTGTCATGACTGGCCTCACCAGAAGGTTGAAACTTGGTGGGAAAAGGTTTTTGCTTGAATTAGTGGCCCAAGAGAAAGACAAGGAGAGCATGTCTGTGTCAGGTCATCATGGCTCGGCCAGGCTGTGACATAGGAAAGAGCACAACACTTACTATGATGTTGCACAAAACCAAGAAGAAGGAGATCTCCCTCAATGCTCTTCTCTTCCAGCTCAGGTGAGAGTAGCTATGGATGTAGGACAGGGAAGCTTTCCGGAGCTCCTGTCCCAGCTCCAGCACGCTCATCCGTCTCTGGTCTTCACGGTTCTGCTCTTCTTTAATATCTTCCTCCTTGCTGGGGAGTGTCTGGGTGTGCTCCTCTTCGCTGCTTGTTGTGGTTTCCTCTTCCCCAGGTGGTTCTACAGCCATCACGTGCTGCCCAGTGGGGCCGGTGTGTTTGGCCTCATCTGTGGCTACAAAGCGCTGCCGGTGGAGCCCATCAATGATGAAGACATTCTGGGTGATGTTCTGGAAGATGAGGAGGAGAGAATAGGACAGGATGAGGCTGTTCAACAGGTCACTGGGGTCAGAGGCCACAAGGGCCACAATGGAGAAGTAGCACATGCCGATTTGGCCAAGGGCTGCCCCCATCAACAGGATCACGTCCAGGCTGCGGGTTGGGTTCTTGAGTGTGTCCAGCTCCTTTTTTTCCAGGGCGTGGATGACTGTCCCAATCACTGCGCCCACACTCATCAGGGGCAGGAGCACAATGTAGTAGGAATAATATATCACAAAGACCTGGCGGCTGGGGACCAAGCTGGTGGCCTGGATCTGGTACATCATGAAGACGCAGATCCCGATGATCACAGCAGTGGCGCCCAGCAGTGGCCCAAAGACCACCCCCTGGAACTTGAACTTGGGCTTGGTGTGAGGGACGTGGTGGCTGATGTGTCTTCCCACGTTCTTCCACATGACGTAGAGCACAGAGCAGCAGACGAGGCAGTACTCGGTGTTGAAGGGGTAGAGCAGGATGTAGCCCTTCTGGAAGACTTTGCAGATGGTCGTGTCTGGGCATGTGCATGAGGCAGTCTCGTTGCCTGGAGCATGGGAAGAGGAAGGCAACAATTAAGAGGGACATGGCCTGGATTTCATGGCTATCTTTGGGAGTTTCTTGTGTGCAGACACAACATCTATTTCTGTACTTTGAACAGTGGTCAGTAGGAAGTTAAGTGACTACTGCTCAGTCCTCATGGCTGTGAGGATTCAGAATAACAGGTTTAGCAAAGGTCTTTTCCCACCTATGGTGCTGGGTGAGAGACATCTCTTCCTTCACAGTGAAAACACCTCTATCTCTACCCTTGGAATATAAGTCTCCCCTTTTCTTCCCCTATATCCTCAGAAAGAAGAGCACTGCAATTACATGAGCCTCTTCTATTCTGACAATCTTGTGCTTGCAGTTAACAGGTAAAATGAGCAAAAATGCTAATTTATGGTGGGCTTTTCCTTTCCTAGCCCCTCAGTTCCATGGTTTCTTAGCAGATCCCCTTCCTCCAGGTGAAGATGTTCTCCCCTTACAGCCCATGTCCTTGAAACAATCTCCAATAATATGAAAGTTCAGCATTTGGGAGAACTGGTGATATCTGAATCGCTGAGATCAAGAATTGTTCAGAATTCTGGAAGTCATCTGTGTCAGCCTGACACAAATGGGGGTGTGAAAAAGGAGCCTTGCCTTCAAACCGCCGCTCCACCTCACGGAGCTGAGACTCCATCTCCTCATGGAGGTTGTCGTTGGTCACGGCCAGGAGCCACAGGAGGAGGTTGGTGGCTATGGTCAGCATCAGACCACACCTGGGAGGGGAGACAGGCACTTAGTGGAGATAATTCACACCCTGAGTGTCTACCTGCCATGTGGTGCTGCCTTTTGCTTCTTGCTGACCCACGCACAGATTGGTGCAAATATCGTGTGTGTCGGTGCCTGCTCTGCCTGCGGCCATTGGGGCGTGACTTTACACACACAGACATGGCTGGATACATTCCCATTTGGTTGTTTCCAAGGGAGCAGGGCAGGCAGTGCCTGGCTCACTGGTGAAACTGGCCTAGGCTGAGGCATCTCCCAGCGATAGGAATGGGGAGACCACCACGCCTCATCCTCCACCCTCTATGAACTGGTCCCTGAGACAGGCAGGCAGGAAAACATTTGGGAGGAAGGAATGAGCTTTGTGGCAGTCCAAGGCACAAGGGAAAACTGAAGGGATTTGGTGAGCCCAGGTGAGTGGAGGGAGGATGGGTCTGGTCAAAACAGTCCTAGCAGGAACAAGGAGTAATAACAGAGATCACAGCCAAAAAGGAAAAGTTTCTTTAGAGCAGTAGAAGGCAGCTTTTCTCCCCTTCTTTTACCTGGTGAAGTTGTGCTGGACTTGAATGCAGTCCTTAGAGTGATGCCACAGAAAATAAGCCTGCAAATGGGTAACAATAGTGATGTGAGCAGGGTGCAGTTGGCAGCTGGCTGCACATGTGGTGGAAAGGGACAGGTAGACAAGAAGGTGCAGGTCCAGGTGGGAGCAAACCTGCCTCTGTGCAAGGGTGCAGGGACATGTGGGCACCTGCATCTCAGTGCTGAGGCAGTGCTGGAATCCTTGGGTGAGGGCAGCATGTGTGTGCCTGCACCGAATGTACCTCCTGGACCTCTGCCCTGTACACGTGGGCATTTGCTGTTGAGGTGGGAACTAGTTTATTTTTCAAATATGGCTTTGGGTCTGGAAAGAAGAGGGTTGGTATTGAGGTAAAAGGTGCAAATGGTGTGAGATATCTTTGTGTGCAAAGGATTTTTGGCAAAATACAGAGAGAGGCTGGGGCTCAGACTGCTGCAAACACATCTCTGGCAAAATCTGAAATTCTCTCTCCTCTTTCCCTACTTTGATTCAAAGCAAATTCCTCTGGATTCTAAGGTATGTCAGGTATCTCTTGGGTAATTTCTTTCTGAATCTTACTCCTGTGTCTCTCAATGTGCTGCACAAGGAGTGCAGATAGCATTTGAAGTGGCACGTGATACTTTAATACCTTCAATGCTCATGGCAATGCCTCGTTGCACCCACTTTCCAAAGTCTCCTCACTTCCCCCCACCCCTTGGGCTCCCAGGAATTGGACAGAGAGAATAGGTAAGCTTCTAGAAGAGTAACATGCAGTACCTGGGTGCAAACAAAAACGATTTCAATGCTGGGGAACACAATTTCCACCTTGGATTTGCAGTGGATGAGCATTGTGCTGTAGCCGATCTGAAACACGCTCAGGAGGACGCTGCAACTGCCGAACAGCAGCACTGACCCTGGGCAAACAGCAAAGCACCAGTAAATAAACAAAGACATGCCTGTGGAGCATCTGGGCTCAGCTGGGGACTGGAGATGTGCTTCTTGGGTTTGTGTGGAGCTGGAAGCATTCCCGCCTGGAATTCTCATGATTTTGAGAGAAGGAGACAAAGGAGAGCCTGATTCCTGAAGCTGGTTGTGTGCTTTGACTGGTATAAAGTGTTTGGACAGTGCAAACTATTTTCTTGTGTTTGGATACAAGGTGGAAACAGGAGTTTTGGGGCTTTGCTGTGCAATCTGGAGTGACAGAGGCAAGCTAATGGTGGGTGATGCTTTCTGCCTTGTGGAGGAAACCTGAGATGAGCAGAGGTCTGTTCAGGCTTGTGGCAGCACAGTCTGCAGGAGTTGGGACACTTCAAGTGTTTCTCCCTTTTGCCTTGGACATCTCTCTGCAGCTTTAGGTACTCAAGTACCTTGCAGCTTTCTTCCCTTCAATTCTCCATGCTTAGTTAACAAGACCATGCCTAATTAAGAACCCAGTAATAGACCAAAGGCAGGACTGCTTGGAGAAATGTGATTTCTCAAAGTGGGGTAAATACTGGTGGGAAGTCTCCCAGGAAGGCTTGACTCACTGGGCAGGAATCCTTCCCTGGAAACGAGGCTGGTGTGATGTTAAACAAGGACAAGGGTGGCACGGGGCTGCTGACGCTCTTGGAGGGTAAATATGGTGATTCTCCTCTGGCTTTGCAAAGTGCTCCTGCCTAAAACCTTTCCTATGTCTTTCCCACAGTGCTTAGTTGCAGGGCTGTAGGTGGGATATGCCTGGATTGTTCTTAGGGAAGGGACCACAGAGTGAAGCTGGACTGGAGGCTGAAGGGAAGCCCCATCCCAGGCTTTCCTGGCTGCTCTGGCTCCTTTCTGTGGCACACACTGTGCCCCTGCCTTCCCCCAGCCTGACAGGGCACTGGGAGAATCCCAGTGCCCTAACTACATATCCTATAGCTCTTCTAATAGTGGGGGAAGAATTTCTGTATCTTCCAAGCCCTGGGCAGAAGGCATGAGATGAGAAATAAAAGCAGACCTTACCCCTGATCCAGATGGCCCCAGCGTGGGAATCCCGGTACAGCACAGCGTGCGGCTGCCGGCTGGTGCCCAGCAGGTAGTAGATAATCCAGAACAGGCACAAGACCTTGAGGATGGACATGAGGATCCAGACATCTCCCAGCGTGATGGCCACGCGGTTGAAGATCATGCTGCTGATGAAGGCGCTGCCCAGAAACACGACGTTCATGGCCAGCAGCCCCGAGAAGAGCTGCCCAGCCTTCTGGGCTTGCCTGTCCCTCTGCTGCACCGAGGAGCAGTGGCGGTACAGCCAGAACTTCTCATAGTGGATCTTGGAGGTGTCTGTTGGGGCAGATGCTGACCCGCTCTTGCAGTGAGGGCAGGGCCTGGAGGCTTGTTTGCCAGGCATGGCTCCTCTGCCTGGGGGTCACCTGCTGCGGTGGAAAAAGGGGAGGTTTAGAGGGGGGACATGCTGAGATGAGAGGTTGTGTGCTCTGCTGTGAGATCTACTTGTGTGGTGACCTCCTTTCCTTGCTTTGCAGCTTTTCCTTCCCTCTCCAGAAGCTGGATGAAGGGGAAAAAGAGGTTGGTGTTTAGCCCAGGTTAGGCATTAAAAATTTCCTGATGGACAGTCATTGCAGGGCACTGGGGAAAGGCCCTTCTGCCAAAATCTCTAAACCTCTCCAGAGACACCTGCATTAAAATGGGTGTTTGATGTTGCTGCTCTGCCCCACCAGTACTTGGAGCTGTTGGGACCAGTGGTGCTCAAACAGTTCCCACCCTCACCTTTCACACCTTCTCCACACACAGCCCCAGATTCAGGTTCTCTCCTTTCCCTTTATTGCCGTAAGGATTAAGTGGAAATACAAAGCACGCTCAGACCTGCTCTAAAGTTCAGAGCTGTTTGATTTTCAGTTGATGTGTCCAATCTCTTCCTTGTGGTTTTGGGTTTTGAGAGTTGCACCACAGTCCCCCAATGGTCACGCAAATTGTGACAGAGCTGGAGAGAAAAAATAGAGAGTCTGTAAGGTTTGATTTAAGCTGCTGGGAAAAGATACAACCTCCCACCCACATGGGCTGACATTAGGACACATTTAATACCCAGTTTTCTTTCTTATTCTACTTGCAGCACAGGGCTATGAGCACACTGACACAGAGGAGTGAGGGATTGGCTCAGGCAGACATCCTGAGCCTGGGAGCTTTTCCATCCAGCTTCTAGGAAAATCTTTGTAGGACTGTACTGCTTATGAGAGAGAAACCTCTTTGCTCACATACAGCAACTGGGCAAAATCAGCCTCTCTATGAATTCAATACATGGAAAGGTGCTTTCACTCCAGGGATTGACTCTGTCTGCAGTGGGAGGTGACTGGAGTGAAAGCAGCTCCTTGAGATGTACTTGAGCTGGGGAGGAACCTGAAACATTCCATGTAGGTTTGGGGGAGAAATTGTTTGAAAAGGGATTGAAATTTAGTGTTTCCCTCTTCTTTTGCATGTGTGCTGAGGTGCTCTGCCTGCCCTTGCCCTTGGGACTCTGTGAGGAACTGAACCTGCAAGTTCTGTGACTGGCAGCATGGATTCAGCATTTCTGTCTGAGTTGGTGAGTTTAGAGGGTCAATCAGGAGAGGATGGACCTCTCCATGGAAGGAGAGGACTTATGTGTGTGTCCTAGGATGAACCCCAAGCCCTGAGGTCCTTCGTACTTCTGTTAGCAGAGATTGATCCTAAAATCTTCCCCATTTGCCTCCAAAACTCTCCCAACTTAGTAGCACAGGAGTAATTTCTCTCCCCTCTCCTAGGGCCATAACTCCTCTGGAGGGAGGGGAGGGGTCGTAAAATCAGCAGGATCAGGTGGAAACTCATCCAGGCTGCACCAGGAGGTACCCAAGTGCCCAGACAAGGCTGCACAGAGCGATGGACCCAACCCCTTGCCCCCACAGCTGTGTGGGACAGCCAAACCCAGCCCTTACCTGCCTGCAGCCTCCTGCTGCCTGCTGAGAGTGATCCAGTGCTGGCACAGCCTCGGACGCAGCCAATCTCACACCAGTGGCTGGAGCGGCACTGGAATACACAGGAGTCTCCAATGTCCCGGGTGCAGACAGGAGCTGTCAGGGCTGCTCCTCACTGAGTGCGGCCTCTGCTCCCAGCCCATTGATTTATTTTTTTTCCCACCCTGTTTACTTTGGGTCTATTATTGTCATTACATTAATTACTCAGTGAGAAGCTCTCACATCTGCCACGGGCAGCCAATGGGGATCAGCTCCTTTATACACCTGCTGGGTTGCCCCATGTCAACGGCCTCGGCGCAGGATGTGCCAACTGGTAAAACCACAAGCAGCGGTGACTAATTTGTGCCATGGCTCAGGCAGGTGCAGAACTAATCTCCTGGCACAGGCTTGTGCTGGGAGTGCTTACCCACACTGCTTTGGCCAAAATCCACTTGAGTTCCCACTCCCTTGTTTTTAGGTAGACCCTGAGACTGTTTTTCTCAACTGTACCACTCTTTTGTGCTTTTATCCAGGGCACAGATACCCAAACCGATCCAAAAAGCAAGTCCAGCCCAGGTGCAGGGATGACACCACTGATGCACTTCTGGCAGAAAGGTGCTGCTTTTGGGGGTGACAGCTATCACCTATCAATGCTCATTTCAGATCGGGACCCTCATGTGCCAACACCACAGGCTCAGCCATGCAGGTTGGGGATGCTTTAGGTCCAATCTCTTCTGGTCCTGATCCTTCTCCTGTTGTAGGGCAAACTGATTCTGTCTTGGGACTGTGCTGAGCTGATCCTCCTGGTTATGTGGCTGGCAACAGGAACTCAGTATTTCTGGCTGAGCTGGTGAGTCTAGAGGGTCCATCAGGAGGGCATGGACCTTTCCATGGAAAGGTGTGTCCCAGGATGAACCCCCCAGCCCTGAGGTCCTTACAGCTGGCAAACACGTGATTTGGGAGTTCAGAGCCCTGCAACACTTCCCAAGGAGCTGATTAGAGGGGTAGGAGTGGGTGAGGGAGCACAGGTTATCGTGTGTGGGGATGTGACGAAAGGGGTGGAAAACAAGAGTGAAAGGGGCCCATTTTTCCTGGGTAAGAACACCCACTGTGTGCTGGTGCAGCCATTGTTTGATGTCTGCCAGCAACAGGGTCATGTTTAATGTCTGACAAACCCTTGCACTGCTGTGGTGGAGTCTGAGAACTCTGACCCGGACAGGTGTTCATGAGTAACCAAGGCTAGATTTGCTCTGCCTTCCCCCAAAGCACTAGAATCTCACAGCCTGCTTGGACAATTTGCTTGGATGTCTTTGCTCTCTTGCTTTCATGTTCTGGGATGCCCTGAGTGCAATCGAGATCTTTCAGGTGCCTGGCTCTCCTCTGGACTCTGTTCTAGAGCTCAGCATGGAACTGGAACCTCCCAAAAGCTATTTGGTGGTCTCTTTGTTGACCAAAACCAGTGATTTCTGTACAAGACATTAACAAACCTGCTATTTTTCAGTGTTGTGGTCCTAAATTGGGGTGACCATGCAGAACTGGGAAATGGAGGCCAGGAGTCTGGAATGTATCCTTAAGGTTGGGTGAAATTGGAGCTTTTTTCCTTCTGAGATGGGCCTGAAATAAAACGTTAGTGCCTGCTTGGCCCCAGTGGCTTTTCCAATGTCACTGTGCATCTGTGCTGCAGAGATGAGGCATCCTTCCTAGCCTGACTTACCTTATCCTGGCCTTGGAGCTAAAACTGGACACAGAGGGATTGTAAAGCCCTGGGAGACTGGTTAATCCTCCTAATTATGTCTTTATTTTGAAGAGTAGCAGCTGTTTAATTGGAAAGTATTGACAAAAGTTTAACCAAGTCATTAAGTAAGCAAGTGTGCAGGAGAGGGACAGGGAGGGAGAGGATGAGTCGAACCAACTGGATCGATGGCAGAAATCACTCCCCTGGAGAAGCTGCCTTTACTCAGAGGCTGGGAGAAAGCTGGCAAACATTAGGAGTGATGTTTGCCCCTCTGCTATCACCAGTGTGTGCTTATTAATGGTGTTATCTGTGCACTTAGCAGTCCTAACACCCAGGCTGGGCCAAGCGGATCTGTAAACAGGACCCGGGAGGAAGGAGGTGGGTGCCCAGCCGCTGTGTTTGCCCAAAGGCCACCCGAGGAAGGCCGTGCCCTCACATCTCCCCGGCCAGCCCACGCCCTTCCTTCGCCGCCGATAACCGTCGGTGACGTCTCCTGTGGAGGTGGTGAGTGAGAGACTTCTGGGGTGACTGCAGAGAGCAGCCTCATCCAAAACGGGTGAGGGGGAGCTGTGCTGCACTGCCCCGGCTCCGTTCCCTCCGTCCCCTCTGATGGGCTCTGTGGGTGTGTGCTGGCTCCACTCGTAAGCGTGGCTCTGTGTTTTCCTGCTGGCCCTTGGTGAAGGTCCCTTCAACCTCCTGCCACCTCCTTTTTCCCTGGGAAGTGCCTCCTCCTGCCCTGGCTCTCGGCACAGCCTGACCCTGCTCACAGGCTGCACCTTGCCTTGTGCTGCAATCCCATCCCTCGTTTCCAGCCTTGTGACCTTCTCAATCCATCCACTTTCCATCTGCTGCACTGACAGATAATAATTATCTTGGATTCCTCCCCTGTCCCTGACACACCTCAGGGAAAATCACCCAGATATAAAGGTGTATTGTTATTTTTTCTTTCTCTAATAAAACAAATCTCGCCCTGAAATAACAGATGATTAAGAAGCGGAGCAGTGGGATGATACCTCAGTTCTGGCCCTGGCTGTGGCCTTCCCTTTTCTGAGTAGTGATTTCTGATCTCCTGCTCTGTCTCTTCTCCTTCTTGCTGCTCTCCCTTGCTGGCTCTGGCCCTATGTGCCTCAGGTCAGGATCTGAATCAGGACCTTTTAGACCCTCACACAGTGTCTCAAGTCCTGGGACTGGGGCTCCCTAAGTTTGACCAGAGCTGAGCTCTTAACCCTGGTATCCCCTGAGGAGTGACTTTTACTGGTTCATGTCTCCACCAAAGCCCTGTGGCACAGCTGGTCCTCAGATCCCTGGGAGGCCAAGGTAGATTTTATACCAAGGCCAGTGAGACTGGAAGCCCCTGGCAAGACATGAGAGCCCCAGGACAGCCCTTTGCTTTCTGTAGCTCTTCATTTGCAGTGACTGCCATTTAAACAGTCACCCTGAGGCACATCACTATCCCATTTCCCATCCCCTGCTCTGGATGGGATCTCTGCTCCATAATGATGCAATGGCAGGAGCAGTCAGCAGGATGCTGCTGGTGGCCTCGGGGCCAAGCCTCATTCTCTGCTCTGACAAAGCCTTTCTGTTCACCCAGCTTCCATGCCTCAGTTTCCCTCCTTCCAGGCACGGAAGATCTACCAGCAGTGCTTTTCCACAGGGATCTGTCACAAGGACGTGTACAAAGGACCAAGT